TGCAGCCTGGTACCAGATTGTCACAAAGGTCACATGCAAAGGCTTATACAGTCTGTGCCGAAGCGATGCCACCTGGTGATAAGCAATAATGACTGGACAATTTCAATTTCATATTAGTAACCGTGTTTGGTTACCTAAACGGTCCTTTTCAGGTCCACAAACAATAAAAATGTTAACAAAACACTAGCATCAGCCTTAGTAATTGCAACACGTATGCCACTGAGTATGCATCAGTTAATCTGTTTTCATAGTCATTGTAAATAGGCATTGTAAGCATGCAAGAAAATTCACAGTGCCCATCCAAACAGCACCAATTGCAAATAGCTTATGCTTTTCACTTAAAAACCACCAGTATTTATTTAAATGTAACAATATTTGCATAGCAGTTAGTATAAAATATCATAAAATCAATGGCCTATCCAAAAAATGTCATTAACCGTAAAGCGTGCAGGGCTTTTTTACACAGCTGTAGATATGTCATATTGCCATCAGCATTATTAGAAAGAAAATACAATCAAACTACTTTTGTAGGAAACTTGGTATATCTATTCATTAAAGAAAATCTAATCAATTGATCATATTCTTAATTGTCTTTTTATGTTCATTATGTTGTAAGGACAAAGGCTTTGTAATTCTTCCTTTAATGGACAACCTAGTGATGATATCTGGGTTTGTTGAAAATTTAGTGCAATTGCTACTACTGTATGGTACAGGTTTGTGTTAATTGCATTGTATATTGCTGTTTATGAAAGATGTACTAAAATGAATTTTAAATTTTTATATAATATTTATAGGATAATGTATGTCGTGATCATTGAGCATAAATTAATTTTACTTCCTTACCTGCTTAGCATCCGAGTGGAGAACACAAAATAATTACGTTATAGGAATTTAGATTCTATTTAAAGCTTAGAATCAATTACAACCCCTGTATTAGTGAAAACAAATGTTGGAGAGGCTATTAATTTGGATTCCTGCAGAGAATTGAATGCAAAAGATTATATAATGATGTCTATCTCCAGTGCTATTTCAACAAAAATATACAGTAATTTTATATATGTACAAATAAAAATAATAAAAAGCTAATTTCACTGGTGTAGCTTGATCATCATGTAATAATGTTAAATAGTTGATAACATTCATCAAAGATAAATGTCAGTTGTTTAAAACTAGGAATATAAAATTATTCAGTTGGTATTTCACAATGACTAAGGATGATCTACAAATGACTAAGAATAAGCTATAAATCAGGAAAATTCTGATTGGAATTTCACCCTGGATGTGAATACTTGATGTAATTTAAGGCAAGCCATTTATTCCATCCTATCGTCCCCAATGAGTAGCATAGGAAAAATCGTATTCCTTATAGAGCTGCTGTAAAGTTATGACAAAATAATGTGTTATATGGGAAATTGTACATTCTGCTATGTTATGCGTTGAAGGAAGACTCAATGAAATGTTTATTTTTATTTATTAGAGTTTAGCCTTTATTCCTAGGTAATTCAAGGCAGCAAACATACGTAATGTTCCTTCCTTCTCTTGTTTTTCCTCCAACAATAACTTCGTGAAATGGTTGGGCTGAGAAAGAG